TTGCTCTCCTTCCAATTCAAAACCATAAGCAAAAGCTTCCAAGGTTACAGAGAGCTACCTTCCAACGTGCCGATCTGGCACCCATGGGTGATCAGGCCACACTTCCACCCAAAACGGGGTGGGCTACTTTCCCGGGTTCAATCTTACCAAATTTAGTGTCCAGACTTCCCCAAATATTCATTCCTCCTCAGTGTTCAGCCACTAGGTGGATCGACACTACAGGACCTCCTTGCTCCGCTCTGGCGAGGCTTTTCCACCTGGCAAATACCTGCCCGGGAGCACTCTCAGGATGCGTCACCACAGCGAGCAGGAGTCCCCCCGCAGGAATACTCCACAGGGCTAGGCAAACCACCTAAGAGACTTTTTCCTGCCGTCTGCTGTCTGAGACTCGCTTCCCAGCCAATCCACCGAAAATGTAGCAGGAGCAGCTGCAGGAAAGGATCTCTCAGACACCGAATACAGGAGGAAGGAATTTATTTCAGCTGGTAGCTTGGTGGCATATGTGCTTTACAGCCAAGCTCCCCTAACAAAGGGAGGTTCAGCTTTTATATAGGCTTATACTTTAGATGTTACACGTGGAAGAATCTTAGGTTCATGGTTTTAGGACTCACATGTGAAAAGGTTTTAGTTTACAGTTTTAGGAATTACATATGAAAGGGTTCCGGTTTACAGTTTTAGGACTCACATGTGAAAAGGTTTCTGGTTTGATCTTGTTTTAAATAAAAATAGTGCCTTCTGAAGGATTTCCCCAAGGCCTAGCCTGTTGTTTTCAGGAAGGAGATTCAGGAGGCGCCAGCTGGCCTGCTCTCTCTTCTATTGAGATGCACAGTGGATGACAGAGGGGAAGGGAATCCCAAATGCCTGGGTCTCCCTCCTCACTAACAAAAGCAGATGAGGCCAATTTTATTCTGAAATAAATTCTAATATTATGATTGCTATTTCTTTGTTTGTGAATTGTCTTTATATAACTCAAATAAGAACTTTTATGTGTCTTATTTTTATTTAACTAATTTATTTATTTTTTGTTCTACTTTTAGGTCATGAATAAATGAGAGTGTCTTACTTCAAGTTTACTACAATGTGTCAAAGCAAATTTTTTTTAAAAAAATTATATACTGCTATTTTTAGGTATGTATTGTTTGTTCTTGGATTTCTGTTTAGTTTTATTAGTTTGGCATTTTTCAAATAATTACTTACACTTCTTTCTCTTAATTCTCTATATCTGAGCCTTTAGTTAGATACATACTGCACGACTAGACTTACTGTATCTTCATTATCTTTTGTTATACCTTTCATATTGTCCATCTTTTTGTCTCTGAGTTCTATGTTGGGTAATTTTTTTTCACAGAATCTCCCACTTCACTAATTATCACTTAAATCGTGTCTAATATGTTATTAAATTTTTCCATTGAGTTTGATTTTGGGGTAACAATTACATTTTCCATATCTAGATTTTTCATACGTTGTGAATTTTCTCCCAAAATGTAGGTGTTCATTCCTGTTAATTTCCTGTGTTTGCTATTTTTGTAAATATGTCTCTTTTTTTTTTTTTTTTGCCTTCAAGGGAAACTTTATTTCTATATATATATATATATGATTATACTTTAAGTTCTGGGGTACATGTGCAGATCTTGCAGGATTGTTACATAGGTATACACATGTAAATATATCTATTTCTTTAAATGTTTTGTACTTTTCTAAAGGGGATTGAGATTTATTGCTTGTAATTTCTGCTAATTTGGTAACTAAACTTTGGTCCATTACTGTGTTTCTGTGAGATAAAGCTGCATAACAACACCAAATCTCAGTGGTTTACCAACATTAATTTTTCACTGATGGGTTTATGAGTCAGCTAAGGAAGCTTTGGTTCAAACCTGAACTGCTTACCAAGTTCAGGTTTGTTTCATGTCTTTCCAGGGTTCAGCCTGAGAGTAGGGCTTACCTGAGGTATATTCTTTTTATAATAAGAGGGCTCATTTTTATCTTTCATTTTTAGTTTGTACTGCTTTATATCATTTACAAACCTTAAAAAGTCAGTTTTATAAAGAAATCCTCAATAATTTTATTAAAGTAAACATTTTTCTAGAGCATATATATCCTGAAACTTTGTTGTTGTGTTTTTATGAAAGAAATACATGTAAAATATATATAATTTCATTTACTATTAACATTATAATTGATGTTGATATTTTCATATTATGGAATAAATTTCTGTTAATTGAATTCTAGTTTATAGCAACACACATCTAAGAAGTGCGAAGTTGACTTCCAACAGTTTGACTTGAGTCCAGCACTCAGAAATATATTAGTAAAGAAATTGGGGCTTTTCTGTAGTTATGATATTGACAAAGCAAGGCCAAAAATTATCAACAACAACTAAGAAACAAACAAATAGAAAAGCTACTTGTGCTTATTAGTGAAATATAATAAAAATACTTTAATTTTATATTTTAGGAAAACTGTACAAGTTATTTTAGGTCCTTTGAATACATTGACATTTGCTTTCAGGTAGGAAGAGAACAAACATATACTTCTTAAATCTGATCACTAACTTTAACAGAAATATTATTTGCACTTATAGTTGTTTGGATTTCAGTTACAACAAACTGCTTAGTATTGTTTCCTTTTACTTTAAGTGACGCTATAGCAGAGAATACACAATGAACATTTTGTGGTGTTCACGATATCCATAATTTGCATCATCTGTCAAAGTTGTGATTATTTTGCATCTGCCATTGCCTGTAAGTATATGAAAGTAAAACTGTTCTATATCTTTCACCTTGTTGACAGTTTTGAAAATATAACTTTACTGACTTCTTTAACAAGTTTGTACTTAGACAGCTGCAAAAATACCAGTGATAAAATACATGGAAGATAAGAGAAATTGCATTCTCCATCTGTTCCTGTATTAAATGAGTGATGATACACATTATCTTTCATGCAATTTCTCAAATTTGCCTTGATATTTCTGTAGTACCAGGATGCTGTTATATTATGAATATGTTTTGGTCCACTGGCATAATTGTTTAAATTGGTATTACTGGAAGCATGCAATGTTTAACCCATATATAGGCTTGTGTTATGCAGAAGAGTGTGATGGGACTGGAAAATAAGAAAAATGAAAAATAAGACCTAATTGAGATCAAGGACATTTTCTTCTAAAATGTCTTAAACCCACATAAATTTTACAATAAAGTGTCTTCGGCAGGCATGGTGGCTCATGCCTGTAATCCCAGCACTTTTGGAGGCCTACGCAGGTGGATCAGCTGAGGTCAGGAGTTCTAGATCAGCCTGTCCACCATGGCAAAACCCCGTCTCTACTAAAACTAATAATAATAATAATAATAATAATAATTAATAATAATAATTAGCTGGGCATGGTGACATGGGCCTGTAATCCTAGTTACTCTGGAGCCTGAGGCAGGAGGGTCGCTTGAACTCAGGAGGCGGAGGTTGCAGTAAGCGGAGATCACTCCACTGCACTCCAGCCTGGGCAACAGAGCAAAATTCTGTCTCAAAAATAAAAAAAGTGTGTTCATTCCCTGTGAACTCTGTGCATAAATAAGCACCTCCACCCCACATACTTTAAAATAATACAGATAAATAATAAACTTGAAGCTTTTAGGTCAAAATAGAGTTATATGAAGAACTTAGGCTGTGGCAGCTATAGAGATTTTACTGGCATAATTATGACCTTGATACTTTTAGAGTGTTATAACAGTAAGGCCTTTCAAATATCCTGGAGTTTAGGGAAAATAATCCATACAATTCTGTAGGCAGTGCTGGAAATATAGCACTGTAGTGAGGGTCAGTATAATCAATGGCTAATGGGCAAGGGCTACCTCTGGCTTTTTTACCATTTAAAGCACACCTCTGCTAGCAGCTAATGTCTTGACTGTTCTATGGACTTCAAATTTTGAAACTAAGTAATAAGGACAGAAACCATTAAAAATGTGGGGCTAATAGAATAAGTTTTAACTGAAAGCAGAAGGGGGAATCAAATTATTATTGCTAAAATTTGGTCATTACAACTATTCAAGTGATTGAAACTGGAAAGATATAAAAGCAAATCCTGAGACAACACTGTTTTCATTTCAGACAAGATAGAATGGTAATTTATTAGGCAATTGAAAGATAGTTAAGGAGATAAGTTGGCAGGTAGGAATACCAGCAGACAAATGAAAAGGTAAATATTTCTAACAAGCCCCAAATAAGTATTTCAAATGACATCCTGCACATGTCTACTTGAATATCT